GGAGAGGGTGAGAAAACAGGTTTTTAAAAAAATTTTCAATTATAGTTGACATCCAATATTAGTGTTTCATGTGTACAGCACAGTTAGAAAACAGAGTAAATAAAAGAAAATCTACTCTTTAGTTTAGCTCACCTTAATTACCTTAGACTATTAGACCTCTTTAATAATAATAATGTGCCTCAACCGAAACACAAGAATTTGCAGAGCTGTCAGTACTAGCGATGAGTTTGGAGGGCAATGTCATTGCTTCTTAGAGTATAATTCCAAAATTAAAAATAAAATACCCCAGACAATATAAAAAACAACATTCTCATAGCATTTTTCATTGTAGCCGCAGAAAAGGATTTCTGGTGGCTTTTTTTTTAAATAAATGATAAAAAGGGGAGACCTTCACTCTCTTAGACACAGGTGTATATTTGTCAAAACTACCCAATCACAAAAAAACAAATCTGGCTTTTCCAAGGAAATACATTATGGTCTATGTAATTGCTGTAATGAGCTGTGGGGACATCACTGACCATTAGCGGAAAAAACAGATGGATTGAGATTTGTTTTCACGCATGAGCTAGGATGTTGGGAAAATGTAAATTGTTGGCCATCAACTAAGTCACCCTGATGTGTAGTCAGGGTGCTGAGTCACAAATAGTGGGGGAAATGGTGAACCCAGTGCCTGAGTGACGTCTTTTAGTTACTCAGAGCTATCATTTTAGGTGCCTTTCAGGGTAGCTAATGAAATAGTGTGGAGGTTACAGAATCGGTTCAAACGAAAATCCAAGCAAATTTGACAGCAAAACAAAGTACTACTGTTTTCCATGTCTAGTCCACTGTCTTAGCTAATGGAGCTGCCACTGCCCCAGCAACCCTGGCGGGAACCGGGGGCCCTTCCGCCCCTTCCCTCCCTCCTCTCCACTCTTCTACAGGATTTAGGCCCAGTTTTCTATAGTGGTAACCTGCTCATTGGTGCCTCTTTTCTGACTTTTCCTCCCTCCATTCTCTCGTGTTTCCCCTCCCTCAGCATGTATCCTGGGGTCACCCCCAAGTGAACTACTCGACACAGAGTCAGCGTAGAGGAACACCCAAGTGAAGACCCCCCTGCAGCAGTGTATGCACGTGGTTGCATGTCTTTCTCCTGCACTGACCCGAAAGCTTCTTAAGAAACCAGGTTCCATTTGTCCCATGTGGAGCCTGGAACAGAGCAGGTACTTGAAACAAATTAGGTTCATGCGGGGTGGCGTGGTGGTCTGGCTCTGGGTTGTGGTTACTCCATGCCCATGTGACTGAACTGAACCGTACAACAGGGGAGCAGCCCTCTCATGCCCACCCTGGGGTTCAGTGTGAGCCCCCCCCCCGACACTGGTGTATAAGAGTATGCTTAACACCAAAATGGAGGAGTAGGAGGCTCCCCCCCAAACCTGTTTCACGCTTGCCCCTTTTCTAACGAGGATGGGGCAACCCCAGGTGGCAATAATGGTTTAAGCACCTGCTCCCCAGAGTCCAGTCACAGCCCCTGCATCCACAGACACTCACGACCCGTGGCTCCCATGAGACACCAGCAACTTTGGCTTAGTCTAGCCAGGCCTCTTGTAACACTGTCTCTGGGCTGAGAAGGAGTTAACACAGAGTTCTTGGATGCCATTGCCCCTTCCTACCGTCACTGACAAGCCAGGAAAGGCACAGAGATGTTCGCTCTTTTCATAGACTTCCCTGAACATAGCTCATGTGCCCAGACATGACCCATCTTTTCTCTGATTGCAAGGACAGTCAGAAGAGGCACCAATGAACAGGTTACTATTACAAGTAACTGGGCCTAAATCCTGCCGGGCACTCTCCGAGGGACTGTGTTGAACCTTGCTACTCAAACTGTGGCCAGCAGCTTTGGCATCACCTGGTAGCTTGTCAGAAATGCAGGGTGGTGGGCTGCATTCCAACTCCGCTCTATCAGAATCTGTTTGCACATTAAACTTCGGGAAGTACTGCCTTCAGTCTTTCATCTTTATCAAATATGACAACTTTGACATAAAACACATTTTTTTTTCTATATTTTAGGACTCAATTCTACCAAACTGGATTCTTTTAGATAAATTTTTTGAGGTTTCCAGTGTTTGGAGTGGATATTAAAAGATGTCAGCCCCTAGAAAGCTCTTTAAAATGCAACTCTGTTTACCTGCACTTTATCATCATTATAACTCAGTTGCAGAGACAGAAGGCTCATGCAACCAACTGTTCTGTAAAATGCAAATTTTGTATGGAAAATATTTCTCTCGGGAGAAAATAAAGCGGCTGTTGTGCGAGAAGTTATTTTTAAAGGACTGTACCAAATGTCTCCTATGCTTTAAAATTTTATCAAAAATTTCAGTGAAGAGACGACCCTTTGTGAAAGAGCAACATGTACATACATTGGAATAGATAGATATAGATAGATAGATAGATAGATAGATAGATAGATAGATAGATAGATAGAATGATGATAGATAGATATCCTCCTAAAAATGTAACCAAAATTTCATACATAAATTGTGGAATGTCAAAACAAGAAGCTCGATGTTTGCTTATACACCCTTGATACCGATAATGTGAGTTTACTTTTAGATAGTCACTAATCTTCATTTCATCTTTAACACAAGGATTAAACTAAGGTGATACAACTAATTTTTCAGGTAGTGTATCAGTTAGCCATTGCTGCATAACGAACAACCCAAAACTCAGTGGTTTAAAAGAGCAATGATTTGTTCTTGTTCATATATCTACAGGTTGACTGGGTGGCTCTGCTGATCTCACCTGGGCTCACCGAACTTGGCTGCAAGCTGCAGCTTGGGTCTGGGTCCGTTCCTTGGACCAGAGGGCTGCCTGTGTTTATGCTCTCCCAGTGGATGGCAAAATGTGAGTGGACAAACCCAACTTCATCAACATACTTCAAGCCCCATATATAACCCTTTTGCTAATACCTCGTTAGCCAAAGCAAGTCACAAGGCCAAACCCAAACTAAGGGGTAGAGAATGCTGTGGTTGGAATGTCTGTGTCCTTCCTAAATTCTTATGTTGAAACCTAACCCCTAAGGTGATGGGGATAGGAGGTGGGGCCTTTGGGAGGTGGCCCCTCCCTCATGACTGGAATAAGCGTCCTTTTAAAAGGGGCTCCAGAGAGGACCCTTGTCCCCTCCCACCGTGTACAGTGTAAGTGGGCACTCTGCAACAGCTTTTCCCAGAAACCAGCGTATCGGCACCCTGATCTTGGACTTGCAACGTCCAGAACTGTGAGAAATAGATTGCTATGGTTTTTTTCAGCTACCCAGTCTCTGGTATTTTGTTACAGCAGCCTGAACAGACTAAGACAGAGACGTAGGGTCTACCAACCATGAGGCAAATCACATGGCCAAACCCAGCCTCAGTGGGGCGGAGTAGTACACTCCTCTCAGAGTTGGGGGTGTAAAGGGAGTGAATATTTGCAGAATAATCTCCTACTATGAGTAGAAAAATGGAGGCACAGCATTTTGCGTAAATCGTGGTGTGAACATTTGATTTTTTTTTTTTTATCCTAAAAGGATAAGAAACCAACATCGAGCACCTATAGTTACCAAGCTTTCTGCTGAGAGTTTTTTCATATGTTATCTGATTTAGCTTTCGCAGCACCACAAAGATTTCTGTGGCCTCATTTTACACATGAGGTGATGGGCCACAGAGCCAGGAAATGGGGAGTCTTGGAGCCTAGTTTTTTTCTGGCAGCTTTCAAATGCTTTGAATGCTCAATCACATTTTTCTTTTTGTCACAGCAAATCAAGCACTTAAGAGAAAATATTATCTTTATACTGTTACTATTTACTTAGAAGCAAGCAGAGCTGTACATTTTCTGAGTATAGCTGCCCATCACTCCTGATACTAAATTTACTGACTCAAATTGATTCTCTTGAATATTCAGATTGTTAATGCAGATTGGCTGCTCAACACATACTTTTGCGGCTTCTGGGGTAGAGAAGCTGAATGCTCAGGTACTTTACGTGTGACTGGGCCCTCTTCACTGTCTTACACGTCTTGATTTCTTGTGGGTTGGGGGGGTGTGGGTGGGAGGGTGGAGAAATCAGCAATTTTGGTGGGAAACGCTGCCTGGAGAGGATTTCAGATGGGTCTACTGATATTGTCCTCCGTGCCTCCCACATCTGAGATGTCCTGTCAACCTAAATGTGAGCTCGTCATCAGTGGTTGGCAAGCATTATTGTGCCTGGCACATTAATGGTAGTGTAGACTGACGACTGGAGATGATTGGATTGCTCCCATGAATCTGTGTTTTAACAGGTGATTCCGATGCCCGCTCAAGTTGAGGATCACTGCGTTAGACCACCAGGGAGAGATGGCTCTTGGTTTCAATCAGTGTTTTCATTCATTCATTCATTCATTTCAGGTTAGAGGAGGGATCCTATTCCTATTTGGGGATGGCAGGGGCCAGTGTCTGGCTTCAGTATCCCGGGCAGGCCAGACTGAGAGGAGAAATGACTGCCCTGAGCCTGTGCAAGGCTGGGAGAGTCCCCGTCTTGCTTCCTGCTCAGCTGCACGTCCCTGCAGAGATTGGCGGGGGCTTCTCCGCGGAGGCCCAGGCTTACTTACTTCTAGGGTCTAACCCAGGTTCTCAACCTTGGCACCACTGACATTGTGGGTTCGATAATCTGTTGTGGGGGGCTGTCCTGTGCATTGCTGCGACAATCAAAAATGTTCCCTAAGAGACAAAATCACACCGCCCCCGGCTTTGAGAACTGCTGGTCTTAGCTGAGTGACAACTCAGTCGAGGCGATCACTTAGAAATTTTGTTCTCAGGAGAACCAGCAATGGAGAGGTGACTGGAAGGGCCATAGGGTGAGGGGCAAGAGTGGCTTTGAATCGTGGTCCCTCCGGTGACTAACCATGAC